TTGTGTGTGTGTTTGTGTGTGTGTTTGTGTGTGTGTTTGTGTGTGTGTTTGTGTGTGTGTTTGTGTGTGTGTTTGTGTTTGTGTTTGTGTTTGCAGGGTCAGGGCCCAAATCTTTCTTTCTTTCTTTTGTCCGCTTAGGAGCATTAGAGGGCAACAACCAAGAGCAGACTGTGTTCATATCAAATGTAAATACATCTAATTTAGTAGATGGCCACAAAGCTTATTGAGCAGAATAAGTTTTCAGAAACTGTTCTCCCACATCTTAAGGCTGACAATTCTTCTGGAGAAAGAGGAACATGAGTTCTGTGTAAACACCATTGCTAATAGTGAGAGCATACTGAATTTTGGTGTAATGAAACCCTACATTTTAACAGAGGCTAGACTATGCATTATTGTGGTTTTCAGGTTTTGTCTTCCTTATTAGCATGGCAAAATCATATTTGACAGTCATACATTCTGTTTGGTTAAGCATTGGGGAGACTAACTTATTTTCCTCTTTTTTTTTTATTTTTTTTTATTTTAACTTTATTTAAAGGTCGTACCCTTTCAGATGTCAGCCACATTTCCAATATCAGTTTGAATGGCATTAATGAAACTGCATGTAGCTCTGCTATGAACAGCAGGTTGGATCCTCCTCCTGATGATCTGGAAAATTTGGATATCAGTTCTTTTCAAGCTCCTGATGATTTACTAGATGGGTGTCGAGTAAGTTTAACAATGTACAATTCTGAAATGACCATTTATCCTTTGGATGCAGCTAGTCTGGGTCTCCTGTAGTTATTGCTACAGTAAAATGTAGTCCCATTCCCAGCACAAAGATATAATCTATTTCAAGATAAACCAAACTAGACTGTTTATAATGTATTGGGGTACTGGAGAAAGTGTCTTCAAATTGGAGTTGGATAAGATGTGAAGCAATATTGGCAACTTTATTTAATGGAAAATATTTTATTGGCATTTCCTTCTGTTAGTGGGAAGTTGAGTTGTGCAAGACAAAATCACAAGATGAGCATCGACGATGGAATAATTTCTTTGGTTTTTTTGCGATTTTTCATAAGCTAAAGCTTGTGTGTTTGTATGTTTCTTTGGTTAGGTAATGAATGGTATCAAAATACAACTACTTCAACCAAAAATATCTTATCCTGTTCTTTTCTTTCTCCTTGCAGATTTATCTCTGTGGCTTCAGTGGCAGG